GCCGAGGGGGAGGAGGTGCCAGTGCTTGAGTACCAGCTGCAGGTCGGCCCCCCTCCGGGTGTCACTGCGCTCTCTCTCACTCCCGCCCGCCCGCAGACATGCTCTGCCTCCAGGGAGCTGCCTTTTGCTTGCTGGGAGCTGAGCCAACCTGGGGGGGAAAGTCCCAGAGCCGTGGGCGGGCAGTCACCATGGAGGGAGGCAGGCGGCAGGCGGGGAGGCGAGGCCGGTGGCAAAAGGACTTTAATGAAAGGGTCGGTGGGACGCCCCGATAAGGAGGCAGGAGCGTCCTGGGAGGCTCCGGGGAGAGGCGCCCCTGGGCAGCCCTGCAGGCTTCGGCAGGTGGCCCGCACGCCCAGGCGCTGGCCCGGCCATCCATCCATCCTTAGAAATGGCCCCCGTGTGCACACCGTCCGCTGGGCGGCTCTCGGAGTAGCGGAAGGGACCCTCGTCCTGCAGGTCTGCAGAGCGGGCGGCCGACGGTCACCTGGGGAGGGGACACGCATGTTTTCACGTGAACAGCCTTCCACTCCTCGGGGTCGGTCTTTTTTTTTTGGAGGCGAGGGAAGGAGGGAGAGAGAGAAATATTGATGTGAGAGAAACACACTGATCGGTTGCCTCCTGCACCTGCCTCCTCGGGGCGGGGGATCGAACCTGCAGCCCATGTCGCTGCCCTGGACCTGGAATAGAACCCAGGACCCTCCGGGGCACAGGCCGTCGCTCCAGCCACTGAGCTGCACTCGCCAGGGTTCGTGCTGGTCTTCACAGCACCGCCCCCAGCTCATGGGTGGGCTGAGGACGGCAGGTGACTCCTGTCGGAGGTCGTAGCGAGGCCTGGCCCAGGCCTTGGGCTGAGCCACACGTAGGCAGAGCGTGTTGAGTGAAGCCCCAGGAGCTGTGACTCTCACAGCTGGGCTCAGCGCTCCCTGTGCTGTGGCTGTGAGCTGCCTACAGCGGGTCCGGAGCGAGTGCCCACGCCTGCGGTGGTCCCTTCCCCACCACCCGAACCCCGCGGCCTCGCTCCCCTCCTGCCGTGGCCCCTTCCCCACCACCACTGACCCCGTGGCCCATGAGGTTACCACGCATCGGCCCACCTGGGCATCGAGCGGCTCAGTGGTTGAGAGCCCCCTTGAGCCAGTGCTGGGCTCTCACCCAGGTCCGCGCCCACCGCTGTGTGCCCTCAGCCAGGCCCTGGACCTCTCTGTGCTCCAGTGCCTCACTTGTAAGCTGGTAACAGCCCCTCTTCCTGGTGGTTGTAAGGATTAGACCCATTGGTGTGGAAGCAGCAGGTGGCACAGTGTCGGGCACGTGGCATTGGGCACCGACCGCGGTTCCCAGGCCTCTCCCCGCTCCTCCCCAGGCCCTGCCACCCCGCGGCCCTGCATGTGCCCGGTGACCAAGCCCGCCCCCTGCCTCCGAGGGCCTCTGGCTCTCCGTGAGCCTCGGTTCCCCCATCTCCCTCCTCGGATCACGAAGC